AATTTATTCTAAAAAAAAAAATCTTATTTCTTCGTGAACCGACCTCGTTCATCCCGATTTCGGACTACCTTTTTTCTGGTAGTCCGAATTCTCTCAGAACCGGAAGTTCTCAAGACCACCACCACCAATATCTGATGTTTTTTTTTCTTTGTACAATCTACAAATACGTCCTTCTCTTCTCAGCTCTATTTTTCCACTCCTCCAACTTCCCTTTATATTTTCCCTCTTCCCACTTCTTCTGCAGCTACTAATTTCTTTTTGCATCCTTATCGAAGGTTTCAATTTTTCGTAATTTAAATTTATTTTATTTAGAATAGTGTTGGACTTAAATATTTTTGGACAAGGTTTTGGACATAGAAAAATGTATCCATAACCTGCCCAAAATTGTCAACACTGATTTAAATCATAAATGTCGTAGAACCCCTGTATGACCTCGGTTAAATACATTTTATTGATTGTGATATACTGACGCGATTAATAGATTAGATAAAAGATAATCTGACCACCTTAATCGAGATATTCATTTCCTTTGCCCAAAAATAACCTGATTTTATTGTTACAATAATGTAAATGTGGTATGAAAAAGAAATACAAAGATAATCCCGTGATACATGATGACGTTTCTATACTGTTGACTACAGACTATTGTAGAAAATTAATATTGGACGATCCAGTCCAATGAATTAAAACTTGATTGTTCAACAAAATAAAAAAAAATGAATAAAATTTATACTTTTTGATAAGTCGTCAATTAACATACCATAAATTACAAATAAAAACCATTAACCCTATAAAATGTTCACATCAATTAAACCAACTAATTTTTTTATTTTTATCATAATGTCCCTACCGCTAATGACTCTCTTAAATCTCTTGATAGTCCTGATATAATGATATTTGCCTGTAATTTTAACTTTTCACGCTGCTTAGACGTAGGTATAGATGGTGGTACACCATTATTGTCTCGCGTTGATGATGACTTTTGTGATGATGAATCGTTTTTATTTGACAATCTCTATAACATAAAACGTTAGTACACATCATAACAAAAAAAAAAAAAAAAATCTTCGAAATTGCTCACCAATTCATCCTTTACCCTTACTAATAAATCCACTAATTCCATTTCATGTTTACCAATCATCCATTTCTTTACATCATCATCACATAATACTTGTAAGTAGCGTTTACGTAGCTCATTTTGTGCTTCCGTGGTACGTTGTCTAAGCCACGTAGCAAAATTACCACACTTTAGAAATTGTGCGTAAAAATTTAAATAAGTGTCCGTAGTTGTGGGTGGGAAATTTTTTGATTTAAAAGGAATTTGTGGCCCTATCATTTCAAAATTGTTAGCTTTATAAATATTGTAATGTTTAAATTTAGAATATAACCTATGTACGTTACCGTGCTCTTGTAATGATTTTAAAAATACGTCGGTTTTAAAAGGTTTGAGTTGTGGAGGCTCCTGTGAAGAAGAGAGTGTTCTAAATAGAAAAGATAAGTTAGCTATTAAATATAATAACTTAGTTTTGAGGTTCTTGACCCTTTTCTCCATAGAACATACATATGAAATGGTATTAATGTAGAAAAATATCGGTTAAGTGGTACCAAAAACTTTTCAGTGAGTTCGACAAAATATCGTCTCAAAATATTATTCAGTAAATAATCTACCAAAATCAACATTGTTAACATATACAATGAACTGTCAATTAAAACATTCTACATACTATCAAACATTTACCCGACGGATATCCACGAGCGATTGCTTCTGCGAGTAATTTCAGTATAGCCTTATCTTTAGCTATGACAGATTTTCGTTTACTTGTCACACCCTAAAAGTTGACAATTATAATTATTAATTATTAATAATATAATTCACTTGAATAAATATTTCTTACTTGTATAAAATCGAGTGACGAAACATGTAATCTTTTCCATGATGAATCACATTGTTTTCTCGATTTAGATTTGCCGACTCTGATTATATTTGGCCAATGCTGTAGAGCTTTTGTAAAGAATGGGTTTGTCACTCCAATTATTATATTTGACGGAGGCTGCATACAGAGAAGAAATTTTTGTCGTGAACAAAAAATTATAAATATAAATGTGTAAAAATAACATGACTATTTACCTTATTCTTCGTTACAAAAGATTTGAAGTCCGAATCCTGAATCGTGAAATATGGACGATAATCACCACAGTATGGTATCTAAATATAAAAGTAATATTAATATCGTTTTTATTAACATCAATTTCATCAAATAACTTAAGACCATCACATACCGGATTAATCAGATCCACCAATTCTATCACACTTTCGCTACATATTTTCGGATCCGGTGCCATTAATACAATAGGTTCTGCAAATAGCATCAATTCCCAACATAACCATAAATCTTTTAACATGTCTCTAAAATGTGTAAACATTGTAACTGGCGGTAATGACGCAAGAATTTGAGTTTCTGGTCGATAATTTGCCATGTCAAAAGGACACGTTTCAAGAAGTTGTGGTTTATTTGGCTGTGGTATCTCCACTTGTAAAACATTGCCCAAAAACGGGAGGTCAAAATGATTCCCTGGCAATGGAGATTTCCAGCTAGCAATGTCATGACATGCAGCTTCAAGCATAGGTTTTCCTACGTCAAAATATGTTGGTCCAAGAATAGAAACCATTTTCGAAAAAAGTCCAACATATGGATATTGTGATAAAATAACTAAAGATTTCTGAAAATAACCACGCCTTATTCGTGAATCTTTCTTTTGTCGAAAGAAAACATAACCATATAAAAATCCCGCATCGGCTGTTGGACCTAATAAATATAATAAACAATACTCAATATTTTATATATGTAAATTTTATTCTAGGGTACTTTGTCTAATAATAATTAATTAATTCATTTCTTTCTATACTATAATTATAACCTATTGATTTCACATTAATTTATATCATCTGCAATAATACTACACACCAAACTCATCCGAAAATCAAAACTAAGACAGTTACACGCAAACTATCATAGGAAAAAAAATAAAAATTTAAGGCATTTTGCGTGATACTAAATCAACTGCAAAAAGATGAGCTTTCCAGGATTATTATGCTGTATAAAATGAATATTTCTGAAAATAATGCAAATTCATTACAAATGAACCAATACCAATAGTAACAAAAAAATTCTTTCCTAACCTGAAGAAACTAATCCAGACTGTGAACATCTTATGCGAAAATTGAACACTGTATCTCCGACATCAAATGAATTTGAATCTGGAAATGCAGAAAAACAAATATTTTTCTTTTCATCATCTATCAATTCTGAAGGTGGGTACATTAAATCCATCGCTTGTCCTAATTCCAAATCGAAATTTATTACACAAAAACATAATATCCAATTCCTGAAATTATCCAATGCTAATAATTCAATTATATCCCAACTATTTCTATGGTTCGATTTATAATCTTTTGTATAGTTAATGCGTTCCTTATTTTTGTCTCTTAATGAAACTGATTCATTGTCATTGAGGGTATTTGAATCGTTTGTTCTCAATTTAGATTCATCAGAATTTGACAATTCCAATGAAAATATTTCACAGTCATTGAAAGGATTTCGAACAAAAGTCGGCGTAAAATGTAAACTTTTAGTCTCCTTAGAACTTAACGACCTTTTCATAGTGTTTCTTTTTGGTCTTTCGGAAAAATTTTCTATCCGCTCAGATTCTTTTATGTTAATCGTATCTGGGAGTCTTGTTGTGGAATGAAAACCTTTTGTCATTAAACGTGTAGTAGAGGAGGAGGGTGAAGAATATGATGAGGAATATGAAGGAAAGCGTGAAGGAGCTAAAGTATTATTGTTTTTATTTGTTATTGGATTTAATGGTGCAGGTGACGAAGACAGCGTTGCTAAATCAGGACTAGATTCTTTTGAAGTTAACATTTTATCGGCAAGAATTGGATTTCCTGTAATGGGTGACATTCGAGAAGGTGTAGACTTCCTTGTAGGAATAATAATTGGAGAGGAAGGAGAATGAACTTCAAAAGTGAGAGTCGATTCCTTTGTCATTCCTTTGCTTATGGATTTGATTTGAATAAATAAATTAACCTGATATAATTTTTATCAAGATTACTGCGTCTAGTCTGTATTGTTTGGTACACTCGAGAATTAAATAACCGATATGCGATTAATGAATGTTATTTTGTAAAGGAAATCTCCATCCTTATATAATGAGTTATGGGGTATTGTACAAATTGACAAACACACATAATTTATGTTGTACAATATATATAAAATGTAAGGAAAAAAACGAATTAAACGAAAAATAATAGATTCCCAAATCGAGAGTAAGTACTGTTAATCTATAATATAAAAAGAAAATAAAGAAATATAATTTTTTATTATTTATTATATCCTTGTAATAATTATCTATTTTTATTTATAATTAAAAGTAAATTTTAATAATATGAGACCTTTGCAATATAAAACTTAAAAGTTTAATAAATTATTTAATGATAAAAAATAAAACTAATTTTATAAAAATATTAAAATTATATTAAAGTCTAATTAAATTAAAATTTAAATATTTTACTAATTTAAAAATTTACTTATAAAAATAAGTTTTTTTTAATTAATGATTTTTTTTAAAAAAAAAAAATATATAATAATCAGTAATTATAAATTTATTTAAATATATATTTACTAATAAAATTAATTAAAAAAAATTAAATTAATTTAAAATTTATTTAAAAAAATTTAATTATATATGAATCATTGTAAAATTCATAATTTTTTTTTTAATTTTTTTTATAACTTTTATGATTTTTTTAAGAATTTTATAGCTTTTTTATAAACATAAATTATTTAATTCAAATAATAATTTGAATCATTCTAATTAAATTAAAATAATATAAGATTTCATTAATTTTAATTTATTTTTTTATGAAAATATTCTTTCTTCACAAACTTAATTTCACTTTTAATTAGAATTTAAAATTCTGTTATATTACTCAATGCTTATTTTTCCGGATGCTTGCCTTTGTTTTTACGAATGCTATCATTTTCCTCTTCATCATTATCATTCTCGTCAACTAATTTTTCTAAAACTCTCGTAATTTCTTTCACTTCATCTCCACACCTTAAACATTGCCAGGTTCCGTCTTCTTGAATCAATTTAGTTTTGATACAGAAATAACAATAAATGTGACCACAATTAGTTTCATACGGATTGTGTATCTTAGACGAGTCCACAGTTACTACAGAAGATATGGATGCATTTGAAGCTGATTGATTCTCATGACATATGGCACAAATGTGCGTAGGCAAAAAATCGAGTGTATGAGATTTAGAATAAGCCTCGGGGAGAAATTTACGTTTTAAGATATTTTTGAGTTTACGTAAATTAATAAGAGGCATAAGGAAGAGGAGGAATTCCTAAAAAAGAAAAAGTATCCAAAAAAGTATAGGGTAAGTAAAAAGAAAAACGAATGTTTCCATTATAAATAATACCGAAATTTACCGTAAAGGCATGCCAAACCAATTGTCGATTTAAGAATTCAAAGCTGACTTGTCTATTCATGATTCTACGTGTATAAACTAAACGCATTGAAAGGATTCTATCAATCAATGTGCGGTACCTAAAAAACGTAATTCATATATAAGTTGTTATATATTATAAGTTTTTATAAATCAATATTTTACGATATACTTACTTGCCATCATATAAAAATATCAGGAAGTTTAATAAAGATAATGATTTATAAACATTTTCAACTTTTTGTAAAATTTTCCAAAATACCTTTCGTGGATTATCCTACAATGATCAATTACATCGTAACCATCTAGTGCCCAAATTTTAATATATTCAGGAGTTTTATGTTACCTCACTAAGTTCACCCCATCCTTGCGCTGTTACCAACCGATTGACGCGCATCCACATATATTGACCGCCAATTGTCAATGCACCATACACGAATTTCTGAAATTTTGTTAATGGAGAATCTTTAGCTGTGGATTGTACTAAAAAAAATGACAGAAAATGACGCGTATTAATCAACCCAATTCGTTAAATATTTTAATAAAAGGCCATTAATTGCATTAAACAAAATGTTCAACTTCACACATCCTCCCCAATGTTGTCTCTCATTCCGATATTTAAGATTTTGTAATTGTGCGCCATACGAAGCGCCAGACTCGTATATAGAAAGACGGTACATAATTAATTGCAAAATAGCAAGTAATTCTGGTTCAAATGTTTGTTTAAATTGAGGCTATAAAATTTTAACCAATTAAAATAAATAAATAGTAATATACCAAAATGGGTTATTATTAAAATATAATTACGTTAAATAATGAAAATGATAGCCATAGTTGTTCTTTTAACATGTCAAAAAGCTCAAAGTCTAATAAGTCTGCGTCTAGCTGGCTAACTCGCATAATGCGCAAAGGCGAAGAAGGAAAGGAAGCCAACGAACTACGTAGAGAAGATAGTGATTTTTGAACATTTGACCAATCATTTTTCCAGAAAGCACTGGTTAACGCTGTATCAATGGTATGATTTGTCGAATTTGAAGCAACATTTGACACAGTTCCGTCTGGCGAATCGCTAAGCAAACGGTTTCTGTTTGAATCGTTGGGTGGCATTGTAAAAAGAGAGAGGTGAAGCCTTGCAGCACAAAATAAACGATTCCTGATTGGCCGACACATATTCAGAGGCGCAGTGAATTAAAACATAGTTATGAATATTACAGATTTAAAATCAATATAAGAACTAAGAACGTAGTAATTATCCCTTACGAAGATAAATAGCTGTATTTCAAGTGTTAAGACAAGCTTTGTAAACCACTTCGTCTATGTCAAGTTTATTTCAATTGTAAATATTTATATAATATGTAATAAATAAAATCACCTTTTATATATAATATGCGTTTGTGCTTATAAGAATTTTTGAATTTATAACTTCCTAATATGCAGGGTTATAGGATGGAAATATAAATAAAATGCATTGTAATCAGAAAATTGTCATTATTTAACCATTAAACATATGTGAATCGTAGCATTAATGATGTCTCAAAGATGCTACCTATTGGCACCGTACTTGCCATCAAAAATCCATTGTCGCGAATTTTGACACCGCCCTTTTTTAGATAATCCTGGTTACGTTATTATGCTCGATCGATATAAAAAACTGATGAATGGATCTACCGGTAAAGCAAATTGTCAATGAAATAAGATGATGATTTTGTCTTTATGGATATGATTCCGTTTTGATAGATGAATTCGCCGAGGCTATTGATCAATACTCTAATGCAGTGTTGCCATTAAGAAATTTTTTGGCCATTTGGCCGTGGCCAATGGCCAAATAACTAGGTATTAATAAATGTATTAATACTTATTAGAATTTGATTGGCATTTGGCCGCGGCCAAGATTTTTTGGCCGGCCAAACCTCGGTCAAACGGCCAAAGCTCTAGTGGTATTGAATTGGAACTACTTAATGTCACACTACTTTTAATCACGCAGAGGCTTATTTGCAATTGGATCAATTTGGAACATAAACCATATTATGTGAAAAGCATTCTTTTGCATAGGTAAAGCTTTATGTTATCAAAAAGACATTTAGTAACGATTCCGCAAAATCATACAACCATTTTAGTTTTCAGAGTCCAACATTTCCGCATGCCTTCATAATTGCTTAATGCTCCATTTAATTGAAATCTCAACAGTAGTAAGGGTTACAATCTTTGTTGCAAGTTCTCAAGAGTGGCGATTTCGTAAAAAAGGTAAAACTTAAAGAAACGTTTTTGGGTTTGTAAAAAAACTGAGGCTAATTAAATTGACGATATCAAGATTCAACCTATAAGAGATAAAGGAAAAGGTTGGGTTGCTAAATGTAACATTCCTGAACATACTCTTTGATGGTATAAGACGTTCAAAATGGATTATATATAAATGAAGCTCTTTTAAATTTTAATATCGATTTCTTAGTTGGACACGTAAAATGCTATCAGAATCAGATTAATTACCCAAATTGCTCAGAAGCTTATGGTTGAACCTAATCTTTGCTAAGAAGTATATCAATTGTATGATAGGTCAATTGAAAGAACTTGAAGAATCTTATCTGCAGTGGATAGCAGAATCCATAATTCTGTTTCAGAATCTTTGCATAACTTGATGTTATCTCCAAAAATATTCTAATGATCATTTGAAAAGTGTGTTAATTGTATAGTAGATCAGATTTTGATTTTTATAGAAGAAATTAAAAAAGAATAGTTACTTGCAATAAATGGCAATATCTATAACCCATTCCAAAATCTTTACATAATTTGATATTATTTTCAAAAATATTTACTTAAACAAGTTGTGTGTCAGAATTATGGTACAGCTCATATATAAATATGCTATAGGTATAAAGTTAGGCGTAATTATTAACTGTTACTTAATTATGTGATTATCATAATTGCGTTTTTTATTTATCTCAGTGACTTATTTTTCAAGTACTTTAAATCTTATTTGTCACACCTTATTTGTCACCTATGCATCACTAACCTGACACATATTTAAGAATACAAAATGTTGTCTAAAAAGTATACTAATTGTATGGTAGAACAGATTTTGATTTCTATTAAAAAAATTTGCAGAAGAATTATTATTTACAATGGATGATAAATTTTTCAAAATTTTTGTATAATTTAATATTATTTTCAAAAATGTTCTAGCAATTTGTATTAATTATATAATAAGTCAGATTTTAATGATTATAAAAGAATTTGAAAAATCATGAATAGTAGAATTAATAATCCCATTTTTAGATTTCTTTAAATAACTTAATAATATTTATAATATCTTTTAAAAAAATGTTTTAATAATTATTTAAGAAATGTATTAATTGTATAGTAAATGAATTTTGATTTTATGAAAAAAAACTTAAGAAGAAACATTATTTGTAATATATATTAGAATTTATAATCTTGTTTTAAAATATTTACATAACTTATATTAATTTCAAAATGTTTTAATGATTATCTGACTGAAAAAATTTGTATAAAACAATTTTTTTAATATATAACACATTCACAACTTCAACTATTCATATATAAACACAAATTTTAATTAATTAATTCTTAAAAATTTGATATTTTTAAAAACTTATCAATTAATTTTAAAAGCAAAAAACTAATTATAATAATTTTTGATAAGATTTTAATCAAGAAAATCTTTTATAAATAAACTTGCTAAGATAAAAGAGATTCTTCAAATTGTTTAAAGGTGAAATGAATTATTTTATTTTTGATAGTTATGATCTATCTAATATATAAAATCAACATTAATACCATAAATATTAAAATGTTTAAATTTTTTTTCAAATGAATTTATTAGATAATTTTTAACTATTTTAACTTAAAATAATTCTTATATTAGTTTATTTTAAAATAAAAATATTGAAACTAAAATTAATGAAAATTTTAGATTTCACCTTTTTTTTATTAATGTTTTTTCATATTTTAACATCAAAAAAATAGTTTTTTAAAAAATTTATATACATCTTTTTAAAAATTTATATTGATATAAAAATGGTTAACTTAAAATTTTAATTAATTGCTTTAAAATAATAAGTTTTTATATAAAATTTAAATATCTTAGCTATAATTATTTCTACTTCTTTGATACCTAATTTTTATCTACTTTGTATATATAAGATTTTAAATATTATTTGTTTAATTTTTACATTAAAACCATTTGTAAAATCGGTATTATTTTTCTTCTTATTTGAACTTTTCTTATCTTTTTCTTCAGTTTCATCAAAAAGAATTTATAATCATAATATATTTGTTATTTATTGTAAATAAATCCCAACCATATTTAATAAAGATCAATCTAATCAACTATATTTTAAATGATAAATATATTAATTTTAATGTAATTAACTATATAATATTAATGAATCCTATATATTAACACAATTTAAAATCTATACCTTTTTTTACAGATAAGTATAAATAAAATCATATTGAGTTTGCTATGAAATATAAAGAATTTTTCTAATAAAACTATGGTTTAAGTGTTTAAAAATACTTAAAAAGCATTTTATAAACAAATCTATACAAAAGCAATGGTCATACATCCATATAATAAGATGCTTTTCAACCAAAGATCAATGTGAAGTAGGTCTTTTTTATGGATGGTACCATTTATTGTGAAATTTTAACTGAAATCTTTTTTAACATTGAGAATTTATGAAGAGACGCATAAAGAAAGAAGTTAACAAATTGATAGCTAAAAAAAAATATTACACTAGATATTGTTTGTGAGATAATTCAAATTTTCGTTAATTTAATGAAAATAATGCAATAAAATACACTATTTAATTTATTCTTAGAATCATAAAGAATGTATCTGTAAATTATCATATATTTTATTCGTTATGCGATAATATTAATATATTTCTCATTATTTTTTTTTTTTTTTTGAGACTATATGTTTTTTATAATATAGTATACTGACTCATTTTTACACCTAATTGATAGTCATCTGGATAAAATCGATTTATATGTTATAAATTTAGGTAAAAAATTAAAAAATCGGATATGGTTAATCAAAAAAAAAACACCAGCCGCTAGGTGACGTATTAAATACATTTGCTATATTATGTGCTTCCGATCCAAGAAATATTGCATACTTTACAGATTTATAATATTTATTTAATGTTATTTTGACTAAGAAAACTTTTATCAAACCATCATTCACATGATCAATGTCATTATAATAGACTCATAAATTTGTTAAAGATCAAGCAAACCTAGCAAGAATTTATTGATGGAACAAAATTAATTATTTATTATAGTTCATTTTTGCAATAATATAGTTTAGCAAGAAGCTTGCTTATTTTTCGTAAATTTTAGCTAAAATTTCAGAATCACGGAAAAGTGAATATTCCTAATTTGAAACCGGAAAATTAGTTTCCTATATCCGCAAAAAGCAAAGAAAAAAAAAAAGACACGAATATCGGTTTCAAAATTACCTCATCTCCTACTTTAATAGCATTACCTCCATAAGATGGAAGGAGTACACGATCTCCAGGCTTTACTTGATTCGGAATGTGTTTCCCGTGCTAATTCATTATATAAAACCACGCGTCAGAAATAAAGAGTGACCGATTTTTTAAGATCTATTCAAATTACCTTGTCCAATGCCCCTTTACCAACGGAAATAACTTCTCCTTCATTTAAAGATTCTAGAGATTTTTCAGGGATTAGAATACCGGAAGCAGTTTTCTAGAACAAAAATTTTTAAATTAAGTTCAATCAATGATTAAAGAGAAATACGCGTTATACGATAATTTAAAATATTACCTGTTGTGCCTTGATACGTTGGACAAGTACGCGATCAAGGAGTGGAATTATAGCTTTTACATTCTTGGTGGCTAATGCCTAATCAAGATAACACGTCTTTCATTAATATCAATAAAGTTGAAGAAAATTCTGTTTCCAATTAAAAAGTTTTATAAACGCGTACCATTTTTATTATTATTCACCGTTAAATGTTGGTATTTTCTACAGCGGGTCGTCAAAAAAACACAAGGAAATTAACAAACAAGGACAAAAATTGCACTATAGATAATTTTTTTTTTAAAAAAAAAAAAATCTAGATATTGGTTATATCCGTGATACAATTTCACCAATCAGAAAGTTTAAAAAAATTTTGAATATATAAATTCTCTAAAGGCAGGGAAAGTTGGAGAAAGTTCTATATATTCATATTACGTTAATCTAGAAAAAAATTTTCATAGAAATTGATGGAAATTTTCTTGATCACCCAATCAAAAAAATCGATCAAATATTTTTAATAAAAAATTTTTTTTTTTTTCGTCCTGTTATTAAAAAGTTTCGTTAAAATAATTTACCTCATAAAGTGAAAACGGTCATTATGCAGCGCGCCTCACAACTTTTCAATAAAATTCCTTTTACAAATTTGTCACCTTCTTTATCTATAGTATCTAGGAATTCTTCTAAAAGGCCATTCTTATCGCGATTTTATGCCACTCATAAAGAACTTAAATTTGGAGTCGAAGGTCGTGCCTCATTATTAAAAGGTGTTGATATTCTATCTAAAGCAGTAGCGGTTACACTTGGCCCCAAGGGACGCAGTGTGTTAATCGAACAACCATATGGTAGCCCTAAGATCACAAAGGACGGTGTTACTGTTGCTAAAAGTATAACACTTCAAGACAAATTTGAAAACCTTGGTGCGAGGTAAATAAAGATGTACTGTTTTTATTTCTGAATTACGATGGATTTTTTGAATACGAACATTATTATCGGAAACATTATGATCCAATATACCTTGTAAATTAAAAAAAAAAAAATCGATACGCGTTCGTGTCGCGAGATGCATATCAACGTTTTATATATAATTACTTAATAATATCTATTTATCTTATTTTATTTATTGATCTCGTTAGGTTAGTTCAGGATGTTGCTAACAAAACAAATGAAGTAGCAGGTGATGGAACCACAACTGCTACAGTTCTTACGCGAGCCATTTTTGTGGAAGGTGTAAAAAATGTTGCCGCCGGCTGTAATCCAATGGATTTACGTCGTGGAGTTCAATTGGCAGTTGATTCTATTGTCAAATTTCTTCGAGAACATAGTCGTGTTATTACCACAAGCGAAGAGATAGCTCAGGTATATATATATTTACATAAAAATTAATTTGGATATATTATTCGTTATAGCGGTGTATTTATCGTGCAAATTGTTATTAGGTTGCCACAATCTCTGCAAATGGTGATACGCATGTCGGTCAATTAATAGCCAACGCTATGGAAAAAGTAGGAAAGGAAGGCGTTATCACGGTAAAAGAAGGAAAGACAATTGAGGATGAGTTGGAAATAACCGAAGGAATGCGTTTCGATCGAGGATATATATCACCGTATTTTATCACTGATGCCAAAACTCAAAAGGTTGAATTTGAAAAGCCTTTAATTCTACTCTCTGAGAAAAAAATTTCGGTCTTACAAGATATTCTACCAGCATTGGAAGCTGCAGCACAGCAACGTAGACCACTTTTAGTTATTTCTGAAGACATTGATGGAGAAGCTTTGGCTGCTTGCATCTTGAATAGATTACGTGGCAACGTTCAAATTGCCGCCGTCAAAGCTCCCGGTTTTGGTGATAACAGGAAGTCTATCTTGGGTGATTTGGCAATATTAACAGGTGGAACAGTTTTCTCGGATGAGCTAGACATCAAACTCGAACGTGCTACTCCTGATCTTTTCGGTTCAACTGGTTCTGTTACCATCACCAAGGAGGATACAATTCTTCTTAACGGTGAAGGTTCCAAAGATATGATTAATCAACGTTGTGAACAAATTCGCGCTGCTATTAATGATTCAACCGTTTCCGATTATGAGAAAGAAAAATTACAAGAACGACTTGCTAAGTTATCAGGTGGTGTAGCCGTTATTAAAGTAGGTGGATCCTCAGAAGTTGAGGTTGGCGAAAAGAAGGATCGGTTTGTTGACGCCTTAAATGCGACGCGCGCAGCCGTCGAAGAAGGCATTGTGCCAGGTGGTGGTGTTGCTCTCTTGAAATCTGTAAAATGTCTTAATGAATTGAAACCTGTCAACTTTGATCAACAACTGGGTATAAACATAATTAGATCAGCACTTCAAAAACCGGCAAAAACGATTGTAGATAATGCAGGTGAAGAAGGTGCCGTCATTGTTGGGAAACTTTTAGATAATCATGGAGATGATTTTAATTATGGTTATGATGCCGCCACTGGTGAATACGGCGATCTTATTACGCGTGGTATTGTGGATCCATTGAAGGTTGTAAGGACAGCACTTGTTGATTCTTCGGGTGTTGCTAGTCTGCTAACGACAACGGAATGCATGATTACCGAAGCTCCAGGTTTGTAAAATTATTATTCATTTTTTTGAATTCTAGTAAAAGAAAAAAATTAATTTTTATGCGTTCGTTGATTTGTAGATGAAAATAAGGGAGGAGCTGCAGCTGCAGGTGGAATGGGAGGCATGGGAGGTATGGGAGGTATGGGTATGATGTAATGGGTAATTGCCTCATTTGTAAGTATTTTGACATCGAAATCGAAGTGTATAAATTTAAAATCGAAAATTATATATTATTTTATTTTGATTCATTCTCATACATGGAAAAAAAAAAATTTTTTTTTTTTATTTTAATTAATTAGAATGAAACACATTGGTAGAGATATAACAAATATTGATAAATGACTTAAAACAAATTTCGAGAAATTAAAAATTATTTAGGTATACGAGCTTTTTATAATTAATACTTTATGAAAGTTTTTTATGTGTTCATAAAATGTGTTTATAATGTTTAACATTAAAAATGAATTTGACCAAAATTGTTAATCTTTTTTTATTTTTATTTGAGAGTTATTTGTAAACTAAATTTTGTCAACGATGCTTCAGATAAAGATATATAATTAGAATATAAATCTGAAAAATTTATTTACAACCTATTGTACATTAAAATGATGCATGCTATGATTTTTTTTTCAAAATTGGTAATATAATAAATAAATAATTAATTATACGGAATGCAAGGGTGAATTAAGTAAAGTAGTATTATTGTATTGGGGATAATAGGCATTATTAAGATCATTTTCATATATATTTAATTCTTCCACGGAAGGAGCTGATGGCACAGGTGAAATGAATCCATCCCAAGGAATTACATTACTATTATTATCACAATGTTGACTAAGTTGTGAATCTGGTAAACTAATTGATAAAAATGAAGGAGAAGGACCAATTGAATTATTTGAAGAAATGATAGTCCATTCACTTGAACGCCTAGCATGACTACGAGAAGAGAAATTAGGGATAGGAAGACATGAAACTGAAGGATTTTGCATATCAATTTGTCCATTATTGCTATCACAATTGTTACTGTTGGTAGTACCTATTACCAGTGGTATATTAAAATAACCATTATATCTTCCCAATTTTTTCCTAAGATGAGTATAATTATGTTTCCCTATCCTACTTGAGGATTCAAATATAGTTTTCTTAATTGTTAAATCTACATGAACTTCTAATAAATATGATACGAAAAAAAATTTCCCATTACTAATTGTTGGCGGTATTTCATTTGGTATTGTTAATTTTGTATTAATTATTGTTTCAAGTGAAACTGGATCAATTAGAATAGGCGAAACCGTCGATGCTACTACTTCACGTACAACTTCTTCTTTGCTAGATATCATCAATCAAAAGGAAAATCAACATTATGTTTTTGGATAAAAAGAATCGTTCGAATAAGGAGGAATGGCGATACTAACCCATCCCTTAGTATAATTTTTGTTCTTCTATATAAAGCTATAAGCACGCCTTCAAGATTCTTGATTGGAACAATATGGCTAATATGAATACGAATCGGAAGTGTTTCACCTTTAAAGATCAATTAGATTATATATAAATGAAAACCTTTTTCTATAAAGGAAAAAAAACGAAAAATATAATCTATTCCTTTGACGATATTTACCTCTCATAATTGCCCCTTTTGGTATTTCAACATTTGTATGAGCTAAACCATGCCTATTTTTCTTCCCCTTAACTTCAATTTGAAAAGGTTTAATTATTGGTGGAGGATAATTTGATATATTTATGTGATCTAATACTTTAATCTCTGTAAAACATTTCGGCAATAACGCTTCTGATAACCATGAAACTGTTTGTATTGTTGCTTTTAAAGTATACGTTATTGTGTATCCGGAAAACTATAATACATACACACGCACAATATATATATATATATATCATAAACCAAATGTATAAAAATTTTTAAATATAATAGTAAAGGAATAATAATTACCGTACAAGACGATGGTATATCATCAGTTGGTAAATTCAATGAGAATGAAAAGCGTTGATTCTTTTTTCGTGCTCGCGCAAGCTCTTCTACCGGTATTTCCTTTTCAAAAAGATGAAACTCATGATCTTTAGCTTCTAATGTGACCTTTCCTTTGAATTTAAGTCGAATGGCCGACTTTTTTACGGGTTTGGAACTTTTTAAAGTAATAACTCCTAAATTTGGATTTGAAAACCGAGTGAATAAAGGTTTATTCAAACAACAAACAACGTTATACAGTTGAGTGATAAATTCGGACATACCACAAACTTCTTCACCAGGAAAACGTTCTCTTGTGGGTTCTTCAATTCGAATATAAAAATCAGAAAAGTATGATGCAAGAGCCTGCATTTGATGTTTGTGAAAGATTGGACACGCGTTTTAAAATTTCTTGAGGATCGAAGTAGAAAAAAAAAAAAAAAAAAGAGAATAAAATGGATGATTTTCTTTTTTTTCTTTTTACCCTTTTTATTTAACGTATTTGGGAGTGATCTCCCAAAAAGCATCATCATAAAATGGATGAAATGGGTGAAAATGATTGTTGATCTGTTTGGTTTTATTTATAAACCTTTTTTTTTTTTTTTTATTTTCAAAATTTAACAACCTTAATAATAATAATAATATGGTTTTAATATTCATAATAATGGTAAAAAATATATTTATTTCTAATGATGAAATTATGCATTCTCTTTACTTTCTAATTCTTTGTATGTTACAAAGGGTATATCCGGATCTGGCAAAAGTCATCTTGGAAATTTAATTTCACATGAACTTGATGCCCCTTTCATTGAAGGAGATGACATTCATCCACCTTCCAATGTTCAAAAAATGTCATCAGGGATTCCACTCAATGACCAAGATCGAGAGGTTTGGTTAGATGCTATTAAAACGGAAATCACAAACATATCTAAATCATCTTCAAGTAGACCATATTTTTTTATAACTTGTTCCGCGTTAAAATATCAATATCGGGAATTTCTTAGTAAAGTTACTAATGATGATTTAAAAATTTGGTTTATATATTTAAAAGCAAGTAAAGAGGTATTAAAGCAAAGGATGTTAAATAGACCGAATCATTTTATGAAGGAAAACATGTTGGAATCACAATTTGAAACTTTCGAAGAACCTAAGGATACTGAAGAGAAAATTATTATTATTGATGCTAACAGGGAAGATAATGAAATTAAAGAAGACATTCTTAAAAAAATAAAAGTTCTTGATTTATAAAATTTTTAATGAGTAAAATAGATGATTATTTAATTATTCTTATTTTTTTTTTTTTATTTATATATATATATATCAGTAAATTTTTATAATAAAAAAAAAAAATTTTTTTTAATATAAACAAGTTTGCTTTAGTGTAAATAGAGTTTAGTAGATCATTTTCTTTGTGTATCGGATTATTATTCATCCTTCGGGACGAGATAGGACTGTAAGTTTGCTTATTCTCCATAGTTAGGTTAGAGCCATTTGCCAGAGATTTACAGCCTCAAAAAAAAAAGGTAGATCGGCACTAATAAAAAAAATCAACATAAAAATATCCGAAATTTTAATAATCGAAAAATGAAGAGACAAAGTCATCAGATAGAAATGAAGAATTTAAATTTAGAAACAAAAAAAGGGAGAGACGAATCAGGCTAAGCCACAATGACATCATGGATTCGCGTTTTAACTAAGGACGCGTGATGTTTAATGCATGAAATTAACAAAGTACGTGACTTCATTTAAATAATACAAAATAATTATTAGGAAAAAATCAAATTATCAAAATAATACATATAATACATACATATAATACGTGTGGAAATAATGAAAATGATATCAAATAACTGACGTGCATCGTTGTATTATTAAACTCATATTTAACAATGCGTATTGTCCCCGATTAACAATTAAGGATTTTCAAACAATACAGAATAAGGTATATTTAAACGTGCTATTTTAACTTAAAAGCACTCATGAAAACAACCCGATCCTTCATTTGTGTATATAAAGCCGATTTTTTTTTTTATTAAATCATTTCATCAAGAAACTCTTTTTATTTTTTTAAAAGAAAAAAAACTTGTTAACGGCACGCATCAAAAAAATATTGGATCCCTTCGGTTTAACCGTTATATTACCGTTTTTTCCTTCCTTTTATAAAGGTTCTCTCTTTATTTTTGGGTTTGAACATGACCACTCGCGTAAAACATCGAGTAAACATGCCAACTATTTATAATCAACTTAAAGTGAGAGTACCAGATCAATTTCTTGTGGAACAAGTAATTAATTCTGTAGGAAAAGAAACTCTCGAAGTGATCTTACGACAAGTATTTTTACCTATAAAGGAACTAATCGCCCCATTACCAAAAAAATTACGCTCAAATAAAATTCCTAGACCTCAAAATCATTTTTTAATTTATCGAAGGGATTTTCAAGCTAAATTAATTTTTGAAAAAGGTTCAAAATTCGCCTCAAAATTAGATTACGTTTCAAAAGATGCTTCAAAAAGTTGGGGCAAGATTTCTACCGGTATTAAGAATATTTATGTTTGTTTGGCTCAATTGGCCAAAAAAGTTCATGCTGCGACTTACCCGGGATACGTTTATCAACCGAAAAAAAGGATCGAAAGAATCAACCCTATCACCATTTCTTCTTTTAAAATTTCTGGTCTTTCGAATATTGAATCTTTTATGGATTATTCACTTGATCTCTCTTTACCTATTCTCACTTCACCTGCTCATCATCCATGCTATCCTTTCATCAATACCACCACCACTTCTCCAATTTCATCAGATTGTGCATCTTCTAACGGTGCAGAACGGAAGGATTCACCATCGAAAAAAAGTTTTACCTCGACTACGATTAATGAATGTTCTGATCCCCGTTTTCTCTTACCTCAACTTGAACATTGTCTTCCTATTTACATAACTGATCCTTATGACCGTAAAATGGTCGATCAATTACCCTTGACATTTAATTAGTTCAATTTCACACAATTACAAGTGAATAAAGAAGTCATATCATGATGGTTTTTGATTGGTAATGTTATAAATTATTAATTTTTGACAGCTGTCAAATTATGGATAAATATCGCTAACAGGCTTTTAACCGAAAGAGTTCGGATGTCATGTGACAATATATCGGGTTGAGAGATAATTTTTTTTTTTTCCGATTATCAATAATATATATATATTTATAATCATGCAATTTATTGTTAAAATTTTTTAATTGAAATTATCAAAAATATATATATAGTATATATTATATAAATAAATAATTCTAAAAAAAAAAAAAAACGTAATTTTTTTTGTTTTTTATTTTTATTTTATTTTATTTGTCTAAGTATTTGATTTAAAAAAGGTTTCTATTTTGTTTATCCTACCTGATCGAAATTTTATGACTTGTGATTGGAGAAAAATGCTATTTAAATACTTTTGATTATTACAATCACTATTATTTCAATAAAAATAATTATCCTTTATATAATTAAAGGTTTCGTAACAATAATTTATTTTTCTACCATAATAATTGTGAACGTTGTTTTGCAATATCTGTTTTAAAAGGCTCATTAATAAATCATTATGGATATTAAATAAAATTAAATTAACATGATCGTACCTATAACTCTCCATCCGTTAGTTACTGGATCTGCCAAAGTATCTTCCTGTTTTGTCATTGCACAAGCATATGAATTGTAGTCAATTTGATCTTCACGTCCATATACTATTTCATTTGTTATTCGATCACGAAATAAGACTACTTCTTGAGTATTAAAAGACATAACTAATACTGGAATACCGTTCTCTAGAATTTTGGCTGTCGCCAACTATATTAAAACCAAGAATGATTAGTATCATATAAGAATCTTTTGCAACATTTAATTGGTCATAATGGATACCTCTACATCTCTTATATCAAGAATTCTTGAATCACTTATGAGACCTTGTTGTATTTGTGCTTGGATACCATGAGTTAAAACACTAAATGTCTACATAAACATAATAATAAAAAAAGTTCCTTTGTTTGAATCATTAACCGAAAGATATCATTATTTTCTTTTTAAAAAAAAAAAAAAAAACCCCCGCACCGCTTCAGAACACCATTCTTTTAACGTGCTTGTATCTCCTTTTAAATGCGCTTCCATTAATTCAGGAATAATATATTCTCTTGCTTCTTTCATAAACTCTTCTAAATTAAACCGCGGATCGATCATTCTTAACTGTGATATAGCTTGAGCTGTTTCGTTTTCCTCAAAAATCGATCCTTATGATAATTTAAGTAAATTTATAAAATTTTCGTCATAGAATAAATATATCAAAATATAATTGTCTACATACCCAGCGTACTCGAAATACGATCAGTGAAAGCTCTAGTATATGCAATAAACGTATTATCGCTGTCCTCATAATTCCTTTTGATACTAAAAATTCCTTTATGTATTAAAAAATAAATAAATAAAATAGCATGATTCATTAAGACCTCTGCATAATCTATTTGTAATAAAAAAAATAGATAAATTACCTTGAACAATTGGATTGGTATCTTTAAACTTTTTCCAACTTTCCTTCCATGCAGAGTCTTTGTGCAGTACTATAGATGATCCAGCTCTATTTATTCAGGATTTAAATTATAAACTAATGAGCATAAGAAACCATATACAAACTGATCAATAAATTAAATCAGCAAAGCAAAAAAAAAAAAAGATATAATATATTTATATTTTTATAGTTATGAGGGAATCTTACTCTGGATCTGTTTCAACTACTCTCCTTGATCCAATATTTGATTTTATGGCCTCCTCTTTCATCTTTCTCCTTGTCTCCTTGTCAACGAACCCACCGTAAATCATCGAATCGTTACCGACAGTTTCCTTCAAAGAATCACGAATGTTTGTGTAAACCTTTGTTTGTCTTATTGGTTCAGTTGTGGTGGATACTTTTTCAGAAAATTGAGAAATCTTAACGAAAGAAATTATAAAACGCGTTAAATAACCGAAAACTACGAATGTTTTTTATATCTTTATACGACTAACCTTTTCTTTACTATCTTTGACAAATGGAGTTTCACCAACTTTATCGATCGTTTCCGATACAGTTGATCCGATCTTCTCGGCAGATTTTTTAATTTCATCCATGGACTTTTTAAGTTTCTCTGATCCCAGGGTTGTGGTATTTTCTGCGCCTTCCTAAATCATAAATTAATACGTTCGAACGAATCGAAAAGTAAATTGAACAATCAAGATCTGATAAGATATATTGTTAAGCGAATTTGGTTGCTAAAAAAAATGAAATGTTCATACTTTAGCTTTCGTATAAACTTCTTTAGCTTTTCGTAATGCGTCAGATTCTCCAAATTGTCCTGCCTGATCTTGTAATAATTTCACATTTTGCTGAAGCTCTTTGTTCTTTTGTACTTGTTCTTTTATTGTCTCAACAAACTTTTCAAAAGGAGTTGTATAATATCGTGGTTGTGCAAAACGATAATTCTGTCGTATAAATAAACTCGACCTTGCTCTCAAGGTATTAGAAAATGTAAACGTTACGTTTGTTCGTAAGGCAACTGAGCTAAATATACGTTGGGAAGCCATTATATTAATTGATTTTTTTTAAAAAAAAAAAAAAATAATAAGAATAATAAAATAAAATAAAATAAAATAAAAAAGAAAAAAATAATTTTTTTTAAAATTAAGAAAAAAATTAGATTTCGTTTTTTTTTTGAGATTTGATAACCAACAAATTTTTTGATTTTCGGATCAGTTTATGTAGATCGTGCATAAATTTCCAACTTAAAATCGACACCTTGCTACTCTCGCCTTTTCTGTTGTTTAGATTGTATCATTATAATGTCTTTGCAAACAGCAGATCTCACCTCTACACCACATTCTTCTTCCACTTCTTTAAACACAACACTAGTTGAAGCTCCTACACCTTCACAGAACCCAACTCTCGCCCTTGAAAAGTATAAGAAGAAAGATGCTGCTAAAGGTAACGACTTTGCAGGCAGATTACTAAACTTTTAATACATTATTAATCGAATTTTATTTTTTGTACTTTTAGTCATAGTTCGTTTTCGAGCAATTGGAAATGCCCCAATTTTAAAACAAAACTTGTATAAAATCAGTGCCTCCAATAAATTCCAAGCTGTCATTCAGTTTTTGAGGAAGGAACTTAATTATAAAGCTTCCGAACCACTGGTAAGAAAAGAATATATATTTAAATTTGACCATATCAAAAACTAATGATTCAAATATTTTTTGCTTTACAAACAGTTCTTGTACATAAACAGTGCATTTTCTCCTGCTCCAGATGAAATAGTTGCCAATTTAGTCAAGGTATTTTTAAAGTATTGCTTTAATGATATTTTTTAAAGTATTATAAAATTTTCATTTCATTTCATTTTTTTTTTTAAAGTGTTTCAATACAGATGGGCATTTGATAATAAATTATTGTACAAGTGCAGCTTGGGGTTAACTTTTTATATAACAAACCTCTTAACATTGCATTTTTTGAAATAGTAATTTCGCATTTATTTTTTCTTTCTAATAATAATATGTATTTCTTATAATGATTTATTAATTTATAATTAGAACGTATGAATCAAGATTTGGATAGATAATAAGCGGGTCGATAGTCCATTAGGAGGTTATATTTTGATTTTTACATATAGATGAAATATGGTTGCAATTGTAAGTAATGAATAAAATAAGATTAGATTGATTTGCTCTGCATTAATTTTTGTATAATACTTTTAATGGAATTTTTTTAGATATTTTTTTAGTTAATTTAAATTTTTTTTTTTAAAAAAAAAAAAAAAAAATAAAACAATATAATCATCAAATACATATATTAAAATTTTTTATGATGCACATGAAAAGTGTGTGTGATGGGAAAAAAAATGGATTTAAGGGGAAGTATGTATTAAAAAATGCTATATAAAAATAATAAGAAAAAGAAGAAAACAATTAACACAGCAAGAAATTTCAAAAAAAAAAAAAAAAAAAAAAGGAATATGAACCTTTGAAATATATTTCATGAATTCAAATTCTCTGACTGTAAGTAAAGAGAAATGAATAACTTGTGAACAAAACTTTAATAAGAAATACAGAGATATAATTCGATAATAAAAATACCTTATTTAATTTCATTAAAATTTGCCAATATTATGTAATTGAAAAAAAGGAAATAATTAAAAAAAAAAAAATTAAATACAAAGAAATATAATTTCGTTCTTAGATGTGTAATTTTTTTTCTAGAACTACGATAAAAAGAAAAAAATATATTAATTTTAGAAAATCAAATAAAGAAAAATATTTGTTACCATTACTTTTTAAGGCAAAACACCTGAATTCGAGAAATTTGATGGTGACTCTATAAAGAATTTACATTACTGATTTACATATAATTTAAAAATATAAATAACAACAAATGATGTTCAATATAGTTCAAGCTCAAGCTATTTATGAAGAAAAAAAAAAAAAGTAATAATAATAAAGTTCATTAGATACGATTAAAAAAATCAGCGAGTTAAAGATGATAAGAATGATTAATAATAAATAACCAAAGGAAAGAAATGTGAAAAGAAAAAGGATACAAATAAAAAAGAGTTTCGTCGCGGATCCCTGAAATTAAGTCCCTGCGGATTATATAAAGTTATATTTTCATTATCTAGAAATTTACATATTTCTTCCACTTTCTATTTAAATATATTAACATCAGATTAATATAATACTTAAATTCGCAGATAAAGGAACAAAAATTCTTCCTTACCCGATCGAAATGCGACCGTAAACACAGCGTTGATGTATATATCGTTAAACAGGCAAGACAATTGTCGAACATATTATATCTTGGATTATGAGCTTTTGTTAACATTTCATTTAAAATATTTATTGTTTGTTGAAATCTCCTCGGATTGACCTAAATTTTTTAAAACGAAATTAAAAAGGTACTTTTGAGGTTCCTTATAAATATTAATAATAATAAACAATTTACCCGCCCATCAATCTCTAAAGGAAAAGCCGTTTGAAATTGACACAGTTCTCCACTCGTGTAATCTCTGTCTATTCGAATTATTTGTTTAGGTTCGACAGCTTCGGAAGTGTTTAAATTCGATGATAATGCGTCTGGTTGTTCAGGACTTATTGACGAACTTGAGCTTTCCATTTCTGCAAGTCTTAGAGCCAACATACTGTCTTCAACAATCTCTCTGCTTTTTGGGGAAACGTTTGTGTCTGAGTAATGAGTGTGAAATTGAGAGTCTGACGAGTTGTGGTTTTCGGGTTGAAAGAACATTGTCTTAGATTTATACGGGCTTGAAGAAGTGGTAGAAATCGTTTGTGAAGTGAGTATATGGTCTAACTGTAGCGCAGTTTGCGCTTTTGGTGACTCAAGTGAACTAGTTGTTTTTGCTCCAACCTCTGTTGTGCTCAACTGACTGGTGTTACCTATAACAGCGTTCTGCGTTGAGGTTGTTGCTACCATCGACGAGTAGGTATTACCGTCCTCCTTTTCACCCTCAACTTGAGTTTCTCTCTTCCATGATGGAGCTACCTTTTCCTCTGCCACATATTTTTGTTTATCGTCTTGGCCAACCTTGTTGTCCATTTATTGGAAGAAAGATGAAGAAAGTAACACTTGCCAAGATTCAACTTTGCATAATCGGAAGAATAGTAAAAAATCAGTTCTATTCGTTCCATAAAGACTAACTAGGATCTCGAAAAAAATTTTGTTGAGTTATGGAATTGGCACAAATGCAAGGCTACGTCACTCATACTGCAAAAAAATTTATCGGGTATGATTTGTACAATCAAAAAATGTCCGCATATTCGCGGGAAATTTACATTCTATATTCTTTAATTTAAAAAACAATAATTAAACATATACAATTTTTTTAAAAAAATAAATTTACTTGAACTTGAAAAAACTGGTATTTTATTTATTTTTAAACGAGAATTTTATATTATAAGCAGGTTTGAATTTTAAAATTTTACCTTTGGGGAAGATCTTTTAGCTTTTTTATTATTTGTAATACAAAATTTTTTTTATTTTTTTTCTTTTGTTCTTTAAAAAAAAAAAAACTTTTTTAAATTACTTGTTTAATCATATTTCGGTAAATTCAGTAACAAATGAAATAAATGATTTATTACTATAAAAACACATAACAACAATAATGTAATGCAAGGAATAAAGTATAATTATATCTCCTGTCCGGGAATTGTTCCTTCTAGGATATAATACTAAAACTTATTTGATCAAGTTTTCGTCATCAATAATTATAGACATCGTTTTGAATTGCAAGGTTAGCAAACATCTTTTTGTCAGAGAACAGGTACTTATTCAACTTACGATACAAAAGTCTACAAGTATTGCTTATTAACATATTCTAAATAAAGAAAACCTGTAGAAAGGAATCCTATGTTTATTATTCAAATTAGGATATGTGAATCCCAATCCCCGTCTAATGCCTTCTGTATAATTCGTCTTTGATGGTTGTACCAACATCATTAAAGTTAACCCCTATTCGTACATAACTATTGGAAATTCAATTTGAACATGGCCAACCAAACATTAAATTCAATCATTTCGTATTATTCCGATGTAGCGCGATTTGTTTTAAGCAAACATGTATTACCTTATGAGTTCTAAACTATTTATAGAAATGATATATTTAATAATTTTCAATCACCTGCTAAATAAATTAATTATACCCGCGTAACCTTGGAGATCATTTATTTTTTTTTTCAAATCTGAAATTTATCAAGGTTATTTTTGACAAACGCTGGTTAAGACAACTTAAAACTTTTCATATTCATCATTATTAATATAATATTTGTTATTTCAAATAATCCTTAATTTCACTTTTGCTCTTCGTTTTAATGTGTTGATAAAGAAAAAAAAAAATAGCTGACAAGAAAAAAATGGGTAAATTTCATTGGTTAATAATATCTCGTAATTTAGTGATTAATAATAAACGGATTAATCCGAAAGTTGTTCATTCCGAACCGAAAAAAAACTGAACCGAACCGAAATTTCGGATTTATCCAATAGAAGTAAAATTCGGAATTTAGATCCGATAAACCCGAAATTAATTTAAAACTTCACGTAAATAATTATTTTTATAGTCAAAATTACCTTTAAGAGTTTAGAAAGATCGTTTACTAATGTGTATATTTTCATAATAAAATTCACTTTCAAAACGTTTAAAGGAATTTTTAATTTAAAAAAAGATCTAAAACCTTATAATTGATTTTATTTACACATCCTTCGGGACCACCTAATGGTTTGATTGTATAAAGGTGTGCTTTTACAATAAATCGGATCTCGTAATTATGTAATAGAACTTGATGTAATTAAGTTAATATTTCTCTCTTTTTTTTTAGATCCTTTTCAGTTCTGAATTCTAGACGGTTTTTTTTTTCTTCTTCCCTATAAAAACACGTTGTCTATAAATTATATATAAAATTGTATTCTAACCATATAATATCTAGTGTGTTTATCTAATTAAACGAAATGTAATTATACAAATTAAAGGCTTAATTTTTTAGTATGACAATTTAAAAAAGGTCCCCTTTGTGTTTAAAGATGCTGC